CCAGCGCCAGCCGCGTCGAGGAGCTCGAGCGCTTCTCCCATTACGTCGGTACGTGCGTGCGTGCGCTCCTCCCCTCCCCCGCCCTCAGCTTTAGCTCCCGCTGCTAGCCTGCCATCGTAAGCTGCCCTTCTTCCTCGCCCAGTTTCAGTTCCTCGAGTAATCTGGACGCCGTTTCTGTTCGTCTGTGCTGTTTGTATGCTCATCTTTCATTCATCTTGTACTAGTAGTAGTACTGCTTCGTTTTGCACCTGTGAATTTGTTCGTGCGATCCATTTCATCAGGCGAACCGCCTCAGATTCCCGGGGCTCGCCCGTTTATAACTTGCCCCAGCGGATCCCAATCCAAGAAATAGGGAATCCCAGCTGCACAAGCATCCCCTCTCGATTTGTTAATCAAAATTAGTACCGGGTCTGCTTGCTCATGGTGGACATTTAACTAGACACCCAACTTGCCCATACCATACACAAGAAAACTGTACATTAGATAATGTTTCTGTGACTCTGCCGGATGCACGCACATCGCTATCATTTCCCACCCTTCTTTCACAATAAACTAGTAAAACCCACGTCGCCATCAAAGATCCAGACGCACGGCATGTTCCTTCCTTCTGGCTCTAGCTGCTGTGCACAATCCTATGACAATAATGCGGTTTTGGAGCCACGCTGCTTCCCCTGAACCTTCCTGCCTGACAAAAATCTGTGACATTTTTCTCCAGCCAGGCAAATCGGGTTCGACCAAGCCAGCGAGTGCCCGCACCTGTGCACGCTGGCCTACGACTACCTGCGCAAGAACAAGGGCTACGAGGAGAACATATTCGCCTTCTTCCACAACACCGCCGACCCCGGCTCCCTCATCGTCAGCTTCATCGAGGAGCTCGACAAGTGCATACTCGGCTACTTCTCCTTCCACTGGAAATGCTCCACCTACATGATCACCCAGGTAAAAATTAAGGAGCGACGACGACCTTTGACATCAACATTCTTCCTTACGGTGCTCTTCCACTGATATTTTGTATATTGATTTGATACAGTGTGATCTCCACAGGTTCTGACAGTGGAAGGCGCGCCCAAGAGAAAGCTCCGGAACATGGTGTTGGAGGCCACTAGGTGATTGATTATCCATTCTTTAAGCGGCATGCGTCATAGTAGAGCCTGTCAAATTGTCAATGCATTGTGGTTGTCTATTCTTTGCTTTGTTTCGCCCATTATTTTTAGCTTACATCATCTTAGAGTATGTAGTACTTGGTATGCCGCTCTTGTGTATGGTTTGATAAGTTCTTCTTTATCGGCGTGCTGGATTTCGTCCTTGAATTATTCACACAGTTGACTTCTACTTTCATCTGACCAAGTAATAAATAAGTCAACCTGGCACTAGATCAACTTCAGAGCTCAGCGTGGGCTCTGTAGCAGAAACTGCATCTTTTGATGTCACGAGTGATGAGATTGAGATGGTGCCCATGTGCCAAGGTTTTAAATTACTCCCACAACCACATGTTGGTTTGTCATGACACTTTCCTGGAAATGTCTCTTTGAATGAGTGCATTGCTAAATTGCCCGGTCCAGTTTGTGTCTGCGTTTCTTATTATTAATCTTGAAAGCAATTAATTCACTGCCAGTGGGGTACAATAATTCCAGTGTGTATCTGTCCGTTTCTAAAGCGAAATATGTCTGCATAGGAGAACTATAATTGAATTAATCCATAAAAAGTGTGAAAAATATACAAAAAATACAACTACAAGAACCGTATGCTTAACAAGTTCCTTTATGCATCATGTACCTCCCTAACTTCCTAAGCAGAGGAGTTTAGTTCGAGCATATGTTTACAACTTAGATCTGAGATGGTATTTTCTTCGCAAAAAGAATACATAAACTCTAATCTGGTTCAGTCATAAGTATGAGATATAATTACAGCTAATGATCTCTGTTCATCTGACACCAAAACTGAAGTCTAGTATCTGATTCTCCTCTAAACACAGGAGTCAGAGATTCGAAAGGGTCACAAGAAACTTAAAGGTAACTAGGCTATTCTCCACACTGGTGGAAGAGCTGAAGGCCATAGGACTATCTCCCCAAGGTCCGGCACAGTGCAGCGATGTGATGGTCCCAGTAGCACATTGTGATCGCAGCCCAGTCCTACTCCTGATGGGTGGCGGAATGGGAGCTGGCAAGAGCACTGTACTTAAAGATATACTAAAGGAGTAAGTTGATCAATTCTGTACTTGTTGCTCACTGTTAATTTCTTCTGGCAATCTGCACGCATTGCACACAGAAAAAGCAGAGTAAACGGATGAGAAATGCCGAGCTGTTCAAACTGAAAGCAAGTAGAGCAGCTAAATAGAAGACTTTGTGTCTATAAGCTGATCAGCCTATTATTTGTAGATCATTTTGGTCTGGAGCAGCAGCAAATGCAGTGGTGGTGGAGGCAGATGCATTCAAGGAAACCGATGTCATATATCGAGCAATCAGCTCAAGAGGTCACCACAACGACATGTTGCAGACGGCAGAGCTGGTATGTTCTACTATGCGACTAGCACAATATATACCGATTAATTGATTGATCAAAATGAACAAGGTTGCATATTTTACTGGTTCATACTTCTAATAATGAGAAGCGCTATCAGAAACCAACCTGAAGGAAACCCTGACACCCATCATTTCAATTGTACTGAAACAAGCAATTTATCCAAACTGAATTAGCTGATGAATCATTATGCACATCTTATATCGTGATTCACAACGTCGATACAGGTGCACCAGTCATCGATGGACGCGGCCTCGTCGCTCCTGGTGACCGCCCTGAACGAAGGGAGGGACGTGATCATGGACGGCACGCTGTCGTGGGAGCCATTTTTCCAGCAAACGGTAGCCATGGCAAGGGCAGTGCACCGGCAGCGGTACCGCATGGGCGTCGGCTACAAGGTCACTGAAGATGGGTCGATCACGGAGGATTACTGGGAGCCGGTTGAGGCCCGCAGTACTGACGAAGAGAGCGAGATGAGATCGAGGAAGCCTTACCGCATCGAGCTCGTCGGTGTCGTCTGTGATGCCTACCTCGCTGTTGTGAGAGGAATCAGGTGAATCTCCTACTCCCTTCGATCCATAATAAGTGTCGTGGTTAGTACATGCCAGAATTAGCAGTATCTCGCGCTATTGCCATTTGGCGAACTACTTGGCTTCAAGCACTGAGCATCTCACCCAACAGAGGGGAAGATTTCTGCTCATACTTGAATGGAAACACAGAAGCATTGCATCTAAAAGTCTGGCATTGGCAGGAGAGCGGTGATCACGGGGAGAGCGGTGAGGGTCAAGTCCCAGCTGCAGTCGCACAAGCGATTCGCCACCGCATTCCGTGGATACTGCGGCGTCGTCGACAACGCGAGGCTCTACAGCACCAACTCCATGGGTGCCCCAAAGGTAAGGAGCCACCACTCTGTTCGAAGCCAACAATGAACAATCCGCTCCTGGAGCTGGAGTATCATGTTTGTTGAACCTATGGAGTGTTGTTCCACATGGCATAGCAGTTGATAGGGTGGAAGGACGGCGAGAGCAACCTGCTGGTGGACCCGGAGGAGATCGGGTGCCTGGAGCGGGTGAGCGGCCTGAACGACGAGGCCAACTGCGTGGACGAGCTCTACCCGGACGGCCAGCCGTCGCCGTCGGCGTGGCAGGACCTCGTGGCGTCGCCGTCGAGGGCGTCCGTGCAGCGCGAGCTCAGGGCCGCCGTCCAGGCGAGCGAGGCGCGCTTCCGGGCCGACGGCGCCCTCCGCGGCGGCGACGCGCCGGTACAAACTTTTTGAGTCCGGCGCGTGCGGTGCGAATCATCATCCGTGATGAGGGTGTTTTCTTTCTCCTTTTCCTTTTCTTCTTCCTCTTGACACTGTGAGGCTGGGGGTGTTGGGTTGAGTGGTGGTGCTAAATGATGGATGGCTCGCCGAAGAGGCCGTGCTTTCTGCCATCTCCAAACCCGATCCATCATTGTGTATTCAAACACATACACACACACGAGCGTCGGTACAGTTTTGTGCGCATTGACAATCTTCGATATGAGCATAACACGTACGCGTTACAAATCGGGTCCGTCGGCGTGCCTAGGAAATGGAGCTGGTCCGGATGCATCTATCTGTCTACATATATACCAATATATAAAGGATCTAATGGAACAAGGAAGGATTCGTCAATTGGTAATCGTGTGAACAAGGTCGCACACAACTCATTAAGAAAAACCGTTTGCGATTGAGCCAACCATTGCACACGTACGGTTGAACCGTGCTCCCGGACTCCCGGTATCACACATGAGTCGCTCAATCAAAGTGTGTGCGATGTCATTTCCGTATCGCAGGCGATGAATTCTCCGTTGCATTGCACACGGTTGAACCTTGGGCACACGGGGTTTCTTTTTTATTCGTGGACCGATGTTATCACCACATACAGTTTGTCGCCAGTACGTGTGCGCCGCGCGATTAACAGGGTTTAACATTACATTACGTACCCTATCTGCACCGGTGCCAGCTTATCCATGAGTTGAGCGGTAGTAGCAAGCAGCGGCTGACACACATCTTATTCTCGAATTCAGAGTTGAAGGGCCATTTTATTTAGCGCATGCAGTTGCACTGTGCTTGGCAATCTTCCCGCTCAGCTCCTCCTTGGCAGCTCCCACAACCTTGTCCACCACCTTTCCTTCCTTCATGAGCACAAACGTCGGCATGGCCTCAACACTGAACTCCTGGCAATTGACTGTTTGTCACATGGATATATTCTTGTTAGGACAATATAGTAACTCAGAATTTGCACCGTATTCTTCTGTAAACAGTGCCAAAAGCTCCGCTACCTTCATTTCATCAACATCCACCTTCAGGAAAGTAACACTTGGAAGCTTCTTGGCAATCTCATCTAAGATTGGAGAAATGAAGCGGCATGGTCCGCACCATGTTGCAGTGAAGTCGATCACCACCTGTTACAAGAAAAAACAGGCCAATATGAACTTGAGAAATATGGAAAGCCTCGGTTGGTTACACTATTGCTATTTTTTTCTTTTCTTTACAGTCACTATTGCTAATTCAAAAGCATAATATTCACGAAAGTGGCAACTAATCATGGTACTGCGGTCGCTCACAAAGTGGCGAGACCGAACCAAACAACGTTCATGCCAGGGTGACACATCCTGGAGGGGGTTGTTGTCTTGCATGAAATGATTCACGAGCTACACTCGAAGAAACTTGATGGAGTTGTCTTCAAAGTGGATTTTGGAAAAGCCTATGACAAAGTTAAATGGCCATTCTTGCAACAATGTAGACGCATGAAAGGCTTCCCGAGAAAATGGTGCCGATGGATTGACACATTTGTCAAAGGGGGCAGCATGAGTGTCTAAGGTAAATAATGACGTTGGTCACTATTTCCGAACACGAAAGGGTTTGTGCTAGGGAGACCCTATGTCGCTTATTCTTTTCAACATTGTGGCAGATCTTCTAGCAGTTTTCATTAGCCGAGCCAAGGAAGCAGGTCATGTTGCGGGCTTAATTCCTCATCTTGTGGATGGTGGGGTATGGGTACTTCAGTATGCCGATAACACCATCATCTTCATGGAACATGACATTGAAAAGGCAAAAAAATTATGAAACTTATTCTTTGTTTATTCGACCAGTTATCTGGTCTCAAAATTACTTCCACGAGAGCGAACTCTTCTGCTTTGCAAAAACCAAAGAAGAAGAGGATCAGTACAAACATCTGTTCGGTTGTGAGTTAGGCTCTTTCCCTTTTAGATACCTTCGTATCCCAATGCATTTCCGTAAACTTCTTAATAAGGAATGGAAAGGTATTGAGGATCGCTTTGAGAAAAAGTTGAGTTGTTGGATTGGTAAGCTTATGTCTTATGGGGCAAGGCTCACCCTAATCAATGCCGTTCTCACACACTTACCTATGTTCATATTATCTTTCTTTGAAATACCTAAAGGGGTAAGAAAAAGATTAATTACTACAGATTCAGGTTTTTTTCGCAGTCTGATGAACATAAGAGTAAATACCGCCTGACAAGGTGGGATGTGATCTGTCGCCCTAAAGACCAATGAGGTCTAGGGGTGGAAGACCTTGAGATTAAAATTAAGTGTCTTTTGAGCAAATGGCTTTACAAGATACTTACCGAGGACGGGGTTTGGCAAGAATTACTTAGGAATAAGTGCCTTCATTCAAAAACCCTCTCCGAGGTTTAGGTAAAACCAACAGACTCGCCTGTCTGGAAAGGACTCATGGGAGTTAAAAATGTTTTTTTCGCATGAGTTTCGCTACAGCACCTGCTGCTCTAGCTAATTGCCCACCCCTTCCATGTGTGATTTCTATGTTATGCATGGCCGTGCCTAAGGGCATATCGGTTGAAGTAGATTCTTCTTTTCTCTCAAAAAACCCCTTCCCAAACTGTACAAGCTTCTTCCAAAGCATACGGCTTTCTAGATGTATATGACGATCTCTAGACAGATGGATCTTATATGAATCATATGATGAAGTACCACATGAGTGGATATATAGGAAAGGAAAGAGGGACGTTCATTGTAGGAAATTGTCTAACTACTAGGTTTTGGGAAGATACATGGCTAGGGGACATGCCAGAACCATGCAATACCCTCGTCTCTATCATATTGTACAGCGGAAAGATGCTTCTGTTGCATCTGTGATGGGCCACATACCGTTGAATTTTGCATGTAGAAGACCACTGATTGGGGACAAATGGACAGACTGGTCAAATCTCGTTGAAAGGTTTATGATGGTCAACCTTTCACACGAATCAGGCACATTCCATTGGAAGTTGACTACTTCTGGTGCCTTCATAGTCAAATATATGTATGCGGACCTCATCAGTGATGGGCAGCCTTTTCACCACAAATGAAAGTACATTGAAAATAAAAATCTTCAGGTGGTACTTGGATCTCAAGGTCATCTTGACAAAAGATAATCTGAAAAAAGAAGAGATTGGCAAGGATGCACTAAGTGTTGCTTTTGTGGCGATGATGAGTCAAGTAAGCATGTATTCCTTAAATGCCCACTTGCCAAGCTACTATGGCGAACGGTCCACATAGCTTATAGTCTACGTCCAACCACGAGTAGTATGAATATATTTGGAAACTGGTTAGTGGGGGTGCACCCCAAGTTGAAGTCTCAGATCCGTGTGGAATTTGTGCTTTACTTTGAGTCATTTGAAATACTTGTAATGATTGTATTTTTAAGAGAACGAAAGTTCCAAACTTTTTGTAGGTTATCTTTAAGGCTTCCAGATGGATCCATCCGTGGTAGTTACTACGCAAGGAGGAGGATCAGGCGCCCACAGTCTTTGCGTGCAACCGATGGGAGATGGTCCCTCGGGATTTGTTTAGCCGATTTGGTTGGCGGCCTACTAATAGGATTTGTGATGCACGAGGCTCATTTCCCTATGATATTCTATTTTTTTATTTGCCCTTGGGGTAGTCATGTGCGACATTTTATTGGTTGAACTTTGTTATGGTCTGATGATGAACTTTGATATGATAAATAAAGGGCTGTGTGCATCACTTGATGCAGAGGCCGACGGATGTCCCCCCTTTTCGAAAAAAAGCATAAAAAGCTATCTGAGCTTGCAATCAAGGTCACAATTTTTGGGAAGATAATTTGCATATACCATAAAAACTTGAAGAGGCTTTCTGATGTAACGCATAAAACAAATGGTGAAACTTTTTAGCACTACGGTCGCACATAAAATAAATCCATGTATGCAGACCTCATCAATGATGGCAACCTTTTCATCACACACACACACA